TGTTCAGCAATTTTGTTGATCTATGTCCACACACTGCCGACACTTGGATATTGGCGCCAGTTATGCCACCGCGGACGCAGTTGCGTACAATGTTTTCGATTTTACGCGCAACTTCATAGGGTTTGTGAAAAATGCAGAACTTGGGTTCTACAGATTCAATGCACATGCTCCAGACCGGGAGGCAGATGCTCGGCGCGATCACATCGCCGCTGACGTATCGCCAGTATACTTTCCCTGTTGATTCGGATAACTCGTCCGGTTCACTCAACTAGAAGACTTTCATGATTGACAGCCTACATAAAGTTGTGAGTGTTGGTTTCAGTGCGCATGTTTGTCAGTGGGGTAATCTGCCAATGGTTAGAGAAATGCATTAATTCAGAATTGTGGACGAGCTGCCCTACCTTCGGGACGGCCTGACACGATTTGACACGTCGGCTGCAAATTGATCGCGTCAAGTGAAGTGCGATCCTTTTCGCCGCGGACGCTGGGGCGTGTCAGGGGGTTGGACCTGGCGGGGAAGCCAGCCCAGTTTCCACCAATTGTTGTCGCTTGCACCCTTCAACAATCGATGGAGATCATGCGGGCGCCTCGCCGAACTCAGTCTCCCTGACACGTCCCGCACCCGTAGTGAACGATGCTATACACCCTGCGAACCTTGTGATGTTCAGCGTCAAATCGGTGACAGCGTCCGTAACTACGGTCGCGACGACATAGCGGATGCTTGAACTCAGACGTTTCTGATGTGCAAACGACTCAAGCAGCAAGATACTGCGAAGTGCTGGACCATGTGTTACTCGTGAAACTGTGATACTATACAGGCTTTTACCCTCGCGTACGCGAACAATGGGTGTCAGCAGCAAGTGCGTGAAATCGATACTCATTCCAAAACTTGTGTGGTGATAGATATGTAAAAAAGAATTACGCAGAAATACGCATTAAACGAGAAAAACTCACATTAATCTCTGGAAACACAAGACCAACGAGACTGCTCGTCGTCCAATTAGCAGCTGACATGTACGCGTTACCATTTGCTCGTGCATTTGTTAAGAAAAGTTCCGATGCCAGAAGCCATGATATAGCCGCTGTAATTCGTATGGTCAATAGAATGCAAGGGGCCGGAACCGGAAAGTCGCCAGAGGGTGCTAAAGGTGGTGGTAACGATAGAACTTTCACGATAGAAAGAGTTGTGTCTTGGCAGTTTGGCTAATGAAAACTTGCGTACTCGCCCTAAATTTACAGGGCCACTATATGGTGGAAGTGGCGAAAAGTGAAACGGTCAAATCCTGCCTGAAGAAAGGCCTTTTCGCTTTCTTAATGACTTAAAGCAATTCCGTAAGATTTTCCCCGCAGGCATCTTGCCAATAACCACTACGGTACACTACATGAACCTACACTTATATCCATGCAGCATCGCAGCCGCTTCATACCAATCCCTTTTCGGTTCATTTTTCTCGCAAATTGAAGCAGTAGCGTCAGAAGGGTGGTCCATTTTGCGGCGCGGCAGGGCGCTGGCCAGCGTTCGGGTCGGTATACTGTTATGCTTGATGGGTCTTTAAGGGTACATTCCTTTGCAAAGGACACTCTATGCAGCGCCTGCTCAGGGTCGCGGAATTCCGTCCTGTCAGGAGCATTAATCTCACTCATTTTAGCAAATTATCGTGCCAAGCGCCGGACTTATCGTGCCAACTGCCTTTAAAGGGAATCACACTTGATATCGTCGAAACCAGCTGGGATCGTTCCAAGAGGGCTGGACTGAGTCTTCCCGCGGCGTTTCCACCACTGGTTTCTCCTCCTTTGGATCATCTCCTCCTCTCCTCCCGGAACACTACTTGTAGAGCAAGGCAGGCTCACTCCGCCCTCCCTGATACCACCCCGACTGATTGCAACGACATCAACCATAACCGCAAGAAGAATAAGAACTTCCAAAGAAAGCTTAAGTAAACAGCAACAATAACGACAATAACAACAACGAACAAGGCACGAGTTAAGGGACAAAACGAACAACTCTAGCAATACCCCAAGTATCGCCACACATTCGAGCCACATCCCAATCCGTAGCGGCATTAAAACACATTTAGCAATGACCGTGTATAGAGGGAGAAATGGGTGGAGATTCAAAGCCGTTGTATCCTTTACCGTGGTGCATACCATCCTTCCAACAGAGCATGAAAAAGACGCAGGGGGGGAGGCATACCAATGAAAAAGGCACGATGTTCGTGAGTCAGATTATCAACCTCCGGAATGGCCATCTAAAAAAGAGCCAAATCTGGTGCAAAACTCCCGGGACGACTTTGCAGGATAACCTGCAGGACAACTTAGGACAACCTACAACCATGGTAAGTGCAAACGATAGGGGGTATGAAGGGGACTGGAATGCTTCCAAGACGGCCTCTCCCATCAATGATACCATCGAGTCCGGAACAATTGGCAGGAGAGAATGCCCTGACTCCCCTGCAAGTCACGCCCTTCACACGCCCTATCATTTGCAGTGATCACGACTCTAGCATAATTTAGCTTGCAGAATGCCAAATCTCACCCGGTCCAAGAGCAAATGAGAAGACGAAAACCATGACCAACGCAACGGCGCCATACTTCGCAAGCGTGTTCTCTTTGAATGTGACTGCCACCGTCAACATCGCTGTTGACGCAATCATACCAACAGTACCGATCGTGAGCAATTGGATTCGGCCAGATTTTGGATGATCAATCTGAAATGAAACAAGTAGTTTGTTGTCTTCAAAGCGCTTGGAGTTTGTCAGCGCTTCAGAGGAACTAGTTTTGTCGAAGGCGACCACGAATTCCCCTACCCCCACCCCTCAACTACCTGCATTTCAGGTGAGCAAAATGATTATGACACTGTGGTTTCCCCAACGGCAGGGCGCTCGGGGACCATTCACAATATATTGGAAATACATGAACTAGAAAAGAAAAGCTAGAAAAGGGGAAATGTAAACCACATACGTAATACATTTGTATGAACGTTGTTAGGAGGTTCACTGTGCCCACACCAATTGTGGCGAAGATGGCAGCTTCACCGCTCAGACCGACTTCCTCGAATATCATTGTCGAGTAAAACATAACAGCATTAATACCTTTAAAAATAACTGGTCAGCCAGCTAAGTGATTGAACTTGTACGGTTGGGAATGTCACAGTCCAGTAGGGCGGTGTCAGGAGGCTTAGCACGTCGCTTTCTACTACTGCCTCTGCTTTCTACCTTAACCGACCCCTCTTTGTAGAAAACGCAGCAGGGGAGGGTTGGTGGGAGCATTTTGCTGTTCCATGCCTCCCGACTCCGCCCCGACGGGTTGCAACAATATGAACCATAGTGTGTGCAACAAGCCGTCTTGACGCTGCTCGGCTTGGGAGGGACACTGCACTTTCGTTAGTTTCCTTCGTTAGTTCCTTTTGACTTATACGTCTCACCTTAGTAAGACCTGTGAACTATTGGATCCGGCTATCGGATCCGCTTGCGCAAAGTGCTTACATAGTCTGACGATTTCACATTTTTTTTGCTCCTCCTACTCCCCACTCCCCCCCCACTCCTTCTACTCTCTGACTTCATCAATTTCCTTCGTTTTTCAACTTTTCGTCAAGGATTACTTTTTCAACACTTCATTTTTCCTTCCTTCCCTTACCGCAGCGTACAGAGTGAAGATATTCCATCGCTTGGTTTCCTTCAGAGGGCATGGTGCGGAACGGGAGTGCGGAACGGGAGCCGAACATTCTTCCCCACCCCACCCTTATATTTTTGTTCGAACAAGTTTTAGTTCATCATTCTATATTGCTATTCTAGTCAATGAGCTGAAACGTAGTAGTCTAGACTAGGAAAAGCAACAGTGCGGCGAGGCGCGGGAACTACAGTCTTGTTTACTGTGGATGCTGGAGGTGTCAGGGGAGGGGAGGGGAGAGGAAAAGGGGGCTCG